GGGAACGTGCTGAGTTAACACCAATAAAGTCGAATGGCAAAGAAAGCGAATCATGGCCTCTGTTTTTGTCCTGAAATCCTATTCCATTTTTGGATTTTTAATCTTGCATCCAAGATTTTTTGAAGCTTATGGCTAAGCTTGGGCTGTGTGCTTGCAGGGCAGACCCTCAAGTTGGACTTTGGGGACCCCTGTGAGGGGAGACACGTCACTGATGCTGCCCCAGCTTCCTCTGCTGTACCTGGCAGTGCTTTATCACATGGCTCCATGTCTGTGGGGTGTTTTACTAATCCCACCTTTCCCTTACATGTTAGGAATTCAGGACAAAACTCCTGTGTGGAACAACCGTCCCCTGGCAAACCAGTTTTCTTTATTTTTGTACTTATCTAAGTGGGGATAGATTGTTTTGTATAAAAACCTTTTACGTGTTGGGGGTGTGGAGGATAAAATATGCTACCTCTGTGTGTTTGGCCACAGAGCTTCTCAAAAAGGTGTAAAAGAAGTTTTCCAAGCCATGTCTGTCCGTCTGTCCTGCTTTTTCCTTGTGGCACCTCCTGTCCTGCGTGTCCCTTCTATAAACTGGCATTTTTTAAAAGATTTTTTGGGAGGTTTTTTTTTTCAATAAAAGGGAACAACAGAACATCAAACGTGTCCTGGAGCATCTCTGGGGTGTTTCAGGGGAGGTGGAGGCCAGAGAGGGAATTTCAGTTCACAGAATCGTTCCCTCCTGGATTACAGGGGCTTCACTCAGCTCCCCATCACTGACTTCCAGCTCTGGGAGCTGGATATCCTGAGGTTTTGGTATTAAAGGCTGAGACAAAGGAGGCATTGAGTCCCTCAGCCTTTCCTCATTCCCTGACACAGCTGCCCTCCACATCCAGCAAAGTATGGAGACTCTCCTTGGTCCTCCTTTTGCTGCCTATTTATTTATTTATTTATTTATTTATAGAAACTGTTGTCTCTCACCTCAGTGGCCAAATTAAGTTCCAGTTTGGCTTCGGCCCTTATAATTTTCTCCCTGCATCACCTCATACTATCCTTGTGGCGTCCACCCCACCCACCCCAGTTTCCTGTCCTCTTTCTGCTCTTTTTTTCCCCGAGTTCCAGCTTAAGTTCCCTGGACAACCAACGGCAGGTAATAGGGGGCCGTAAAGACCAGGGAGTTTCCTAGTAGTGTCCCTTACCCGGGCCCCAGGGAGGCAGCAGAATTCCTTGTGGGATGGGTCCAGTCGGCTTATCAGGCCCTCCATTCCCCTCGGAAGGGAACAGACGATTCCCTTTTTTTTTTTTTTTTTTTTTT